ACACCGTAATACAGTAATAGTCACGATTAGTAAGATACTTCAATCTATCGGTATAGGTTCCGTAGACTGGTTTAAATCCTACCTTAGCAACAGGAAACAAATTGTCGAAATCAACAAAACAGGATCAGAACCCCTGTCGATAGCATGTGGAGTTCTCCAAGGTAGTATTCTAGGTCCCTTGCTATTCCTATGTTATACAAAGGACATGCCTATCAGCGTCAAGTGCAAACTCCGACTGTATGCAGATGACAGTGCTCTGTTAGTGTCAGGTAAAGACCCACAAGATATAGCTAATGTATTAACACTGGAACTGGAGTCCTGCAGCAAATAGTTAGTAGACAACAAACTATCGCTACACCTCGGGAAAGCGGAAGCTATACTCTTTGGCACGAAACATAAACTGAGAAGGGTAAATAATTTTAATGTCCAGTGTAATGGGGAGCCCATAATTTCAATTTCCTCAGTAAAATATCTATGAATCCCCTTTGACCCATGCATGTCAGGAGAATTGATAGGGAACAGTGTAGTAAAGAAAGCGAATGCCAGACTGAAGTTCCTGTATAGACAAGCACAGTGTCTACCTACTGAGGTATAGTGTCTACCTACTGAGGCACAGTGTCTACCTACTGAGGCTCGCAGGACCCTATGTCTAGCCCTTATACAATGCCATATGGATTACGCTTGCTCTTCATGGTACTCTGCCTTGACAAAAAACTGAAAGATAGACTGCAAATCACCCAGAACAAAATGGTAAGATTTATTCTGGACCTGGATCCTGGACCTGGGTCCTGGAACTGGGTCCTGGACCTGGGTCCAAGAGAACATGTAGGCCAGGATGAATTACAGCAGTTGGATATGCTGAATGTTGAAGACAGAGTAAAACAACTGAAGTTAAATCATGTTTATAAAATTGCCCACAAACAGTGTCCAGAATATCTTGCTGTCAATTTTGTCAAGGTCGGGAACCAAAACAATCATAGTACGAGGGGGAGAGAGCACAACTTTGTAGTACCCACAGTAAGTAGCCAGGCTTCAAACACCTTTTATTGTACAGCAATAAAGGAATGGAACAGACTGCCCGCACATGTCAAAGCCAGTCATAACATGAACCAGTTCAAGAAGAGAACCAAAAGGTACGTAATGAATGTAGCTACAGAAAGGGAGGAGAATAATTTTTTTTATTTTTTTTAGCTAACACACATGTAAATATAAATAACTAATTTTACTTTATGCCTAATATATCTCCTTTATAGTATAATTATAAGGTATTAAAAGGACCCCAGTGGAAATAAGTCACTTTGTCTGATTTTTTGGGTTATCCCGGGTTCTCTACACATAAGTAACAAAAAAGGAACAATACCGTGACTGGAACGATACACAAATAACCCGCACATAAAAGAGAGGAGCTTATGACGACGTTTCGGTCCGACTTGGACCATTTACAAAGTCACAAAGTGTAACTTTGTAAATGGTCCAAGTCGGACCGAAACGTCGTCGTAAGCTCCTTTCTTCTATGTGCGGGTTATTTGTGTTTCTTAACACATATGCTAAAATGTATGATAATCTATGTAACTGTATTTATGTATACCTGAATAAACTTACTTACTTACTAGTAGGGATCAGCGATGAGGCGGGGCCAGCAGCTGTAACTCGACCCGTGCAACCACAAACAGGTGAGTACAAATAGATGAGTATACCATACTCGCCCTTATGGCTGTTGGTACAGAATATACATGTCCAGCTGGACCTTTCAGATGCTTGGCTGCTCTTTAGTACAGACATGTGGCTGTTCACTGTTACTATCTCAGTCAACTACATGACATATCAATCAGTATTTTCGTAAACCCCTAAAAATCAGGGATGGACGGGGGTTGGGGGTTGAACCTAAGGCAGGTGTGTGCTAAAACTCACAGGCCAGTGCGTTAACCAGTTTGCATTGGGTCAGGATATATGACCCATGAAGGTGTCCCGTGGCCTGGTAGGCAGCGCTCTTGCTTCAAACTCTGAGTGTCAGTTTGATTCCCGGCGATTACTGGGAATGATTGAAGTCCCTTGATTTGTATTCCCTGGAATGCAGGCGAGAGAGATACATGATAATATCCACTTGGAAAATCCTAGAGGGCTTAGTACCAAATTTGCACATGAAAATCATTCCCTATGAAAGCAAAAGACTCTCAAGAGATGTAATATTCCGTCAATGAAAATCAGAGGCGCCACGAGTACACTGAGAGACAACACAGTAAGTGTCAGGGACCCAAGACTGTTGAACTACCTCCCAGCATACATAAGGGGGATTACCAATAGACCCCTGACTGTCTTCAAGAAGGCACTGGACAGGCACCTAAAGTCAGTCCCTGACCAGCCGAGCTGTGGTTCATATGTCGCTTTACGTGCGGCTATCAGTAACAGCCTGATTGATAAGGCCCTGATCCACCACGAGGCCTGGTCTCAGACCGAGCCGCGGGGGCGTTGACCCCCGAAATCCTCTCCAGGTAAACACCACGTAAAGGTGGAAACATTGGGTGTGCTATCTTACAGCTGTTGTCCCTGTTCACCTAGCAGTAAGTAGGTACATAGGTGTTAGTTACCCTACACCTGTTGTGCCTGTTCACCTAGCAGCAAGTAGGTACCTGGATGTTAGTGGACTGGTGTGGGTGGCATCCTGGGGGACAAGATTGAGGACAACAATGGAAATAAGACAGACACTCCCTCGATGACGCACTGACTTTCTTAACTTATCCTGGATGTTTAATAAAAATAGTATCTTATCTTAAGGACACGCATAAAAAACCATTATTATCAGTGTTTAAAATGCCTTATCCTCTGTTTTAACAGCCCAAATCTAATACACAAATTTATTTATTTATTTATTTATTTAGAAATTTAGCATACAAACAGAGGTACAAAAAATACAGGTAAGAGCAGCATGCCAAAGCCACTTATATGCATAGCATTACGGGCTGGCTTAAAGTTAACTTAAGATTAACTAAGCAATGATGAAATCAGTGATAAGACATTATTGTAAACAGATTACTATAAATCACAAATGAGTATTACAAAGACAGGTCCAATGGTTGTATGCATTGCTGTTCATTCAGTAGAATGGAGTATTCTGTTAGGTAGTGTATTTAAAAAAAATAACAAAGTTAGGTTTAACATTTGTGTGATATAATTGTGAGTAACATTTAGGATATACAATTTATATGGTTCAGTTATTCAGTATTTATTTGGTTTTGAGTGAGTAAGTGAACTTTGAGAAGAGACTTGAATTTATAAACAGGTAGTGTTTCTTTTATATTTACAGGTAATGAATTCCAGATTTTAGGGCCTTTTATGTGCATTGAGTTTTTGCATAGCGTAAGATGGACACGAGGAACATCAAAGAGTGATCTGTGCCTTGTATTATGGTCATGTGTTCTGTTGAGGTTGGCAAGGAGATGTTTGAGGGGAGGGTTAATATCAGAGTTAAGTGTTCTATGTATGTAATAGGTGCAGTAATAAGTATGGATGTTTTGTATGGTGAGTAGGTTGAGTGTTTTGAATATTGGTGGAGTGTGCTGCCTGTAGTGAGAATTTGTTATCATTCTAACTGCAGCCTTTTGTTGGGTAATTAGTGGTCTAGATGGTTAGTTGTTGTTGAGCCCCATGCACAAATTCCATAGGTGAGATAGGGGTAAATAAGAGAGTGATATAGGGCCAGGAGGGCTGACTGTGGAACATAGTACCGTATCTTCGATAGTATGCCTACAGTCTTGGAAATTTTCTTAGAAATTTGTTGTATATGTGTATGAAATTTGAGTCTATTATCGAGGTGGATTCCTAAGAATTTTCCCTCTGTTAGCTTTGTGATAGGTGATCCGTTTATCATTATGTTAAGAGGTACATCTGTAGCTCTGTTACCAAACTGAATGAAGTAGGTTTTGTCAATGTTTAGTGTAAGTTTGTTAGTCCTCATCCAGGTAGATATTTTCTGTAATTCGGCGTTTACAGTATTTGCTAGCGTGACTGGGCTCGGGTGAGAGAAGACGTATGTGGTGTCAAATAATCCACACGTTTCGGTCCTCTTCTCGCGCGTCTGTATCTTGTTAATTATCCAAGACCGAGATGTCGTCTCTTATGGGCGTATTATTTCTGTATTGCTCCATTCTTTGTATTGTGACGTTTTTCTTCAACTCAGCTCTGGTAAAACACCTGAGAGTTTGAAGCTGAAAAAACACGTAAAAACAGCGATTTCAAACCTTATTTCGACTAAATAAAACATCCACTTGCTGCCTGTGTGTTCTTACGGTATTCCTGTACAACATTCTTTTACAAATTGTACACAAGACAGAATCCAAATCAGTGTACAGTGTTATAAGTCTTTACAGTAAAATCAAACGTAAAATGTCATTGAAAGTACATACAGGGGAGAAATTACATCAGTGTTCAAAGTGTCTGAAGACTCACGAAATCGTAATGACACGATTGCAAACAAACCATACAACGGACGGGGTTTGAACTCGCAGTCAGAGAGTCATGAAACTCCAGGTTCTATCCCCGCCCGTGGTATGGTTTGTCTGAAAGCCATTTTAGAGAAATCGTATCTAATCTCGTATACAAATCATATTTCCCAGTTGTCAATAGAGGATGATATTATGCAACATCAATTTTCAATTATCTCCAGATTTTATTCTCGATTCACACACTACGCAATGGATAAATAAAATTTCGGTCGAATTTGTTTATGTCACAGTTTGGATTATTTGCTAGGAAATTCGTAGGATGTCGTAATATTGTAGGATCGAGGATAAGACAAGAGATCTAAGAGTGTGGATTATTTTCATTGTGGTTCTTAGATCCTATCCCAAGATGGTACAAACAACGGTTGTCTAACCCATAGTTTCTATTTACTACTAGAGGAACAGGAGCAGTAGGTGTTAGGAGACTTGCTAGTGGGTGTTTTACCTTCTAGGATTAGACCCGGGTCCTTTTTCTTGTGATTGTAGCCGGTGAGGGATCACTTAGGGAAAGCCGTAGGATCGAGAGGGAGGGTTGTAGACTGGTGGCTGGTAGGAGGGGACAGACAAGTTGCTAGGGCGGTTTCTTCTGTATTTACCAACTTCGCTGGATTCTTCTACTTCGGAGACCGGAGGCAAGTACACAGCCTCCTCACTAGACTCCTCAGCTTCTGGTCTTACGTATGATAGTCTGGGAGGGGAGTGTATAGGTCTAGGGGAAGTGTATATTGGTCTTGGAGTGAAGGATGGTCTGGCTGGTGTGTATACGGTCTCTCCTGATTCTTCGGGTTCTAGTGGAGTATAACGAGGTCTGGGCGTGGTATACACTGATCTTGGGGTGTAAAATGGTCTTGGTGTTGTGAAGACTGGTCTTGGGATGAAGGATGGTCTGGCTGGTATATACTCTGGGGCCTCGTTCGACTCATCCGAGTCAGGGGCGCGGTACAAAGGTCTTGGAGGGACGTATGACCTGACTTCGTGTGACTCTGGATAGCGAGCCTCTCCCTGGTAAGTCACCTCAGCCACGTAGCCTGAGTCACCGTCCACGTAGTAAGTCACAGTCTGTAGACGACCATCGGGGAGGTGCACGCTGTACGATCCCTTGGTGTCGTCGCCGTTGCGGCTCTCCTGGTGGCCGAAGTCGTTATCGAAGTCGTCTCTCACAGCGTAGCCGAAGTCGTACTTAACCTCTCTGGACCGAGGTGAATACTCAACTGAATCCTAAAAGAATACAATCCTGTTACCTATTTCACATCTTCATGGTAAACGAGCTAACTACTCATTCAGAGGAAGGTTAATGAAGACTCGATCCTCTGTCTACTAGCATCTAGACATTCACTATATATGTTCTCACTGATTTTTAAGACACTCCAGGAGATGATCACAAAATGTCATAGAATTGTAATGACTAATCCATTCTCCCCCCCAAAATATTAAAATACGTAGAAAAATGGGGTTTTCGGATCAAGAATTACGTGATGGGTAATAAGAGTTACCTGAGTGGCAAAGAGAGAGTTACCTGATGGGCAAAGTGAGCTACCTGGTGTGCAAAGCGAGTTACCTGATGGGCGATGAGAGTTATCTGATGGGCAAAGAGTGTTACCTGAGTGGCAGAGAGAGTTGCCTGATGGTCAAAGAGAGTTACCTGACGAGCAAAGAGAGTTACCTGATGGGCAATGAGAGAGAGACAGATACCTTATGGGCAAAGAGAGTTACCTGATGGGCAAAGAGAGTTACCTGATTGGCAAAAAGAGTTACATGATGGGCAAAGAGAGTTACCTGATGGGCTCTGATGGTCAAAGAGAGAATTACCTGAGGGGCAGCATAGTCGTACAGGGGTCGTGTGTCTCCAGCCACGACCACCACCACCACACACAACACTACCACAAGCTGAAGGTGGAAAATTTATCATTATTAAGATTAAAAGGCTTTTGATCCAAGGAATTATACCTGCCTCCCTGTACCTGGAATCAACCCTGATTACCCCCCATCCCCCAGGTACAGTCTAACCCCTACGGATTTAAAGCTTTTCCAGCAATGAAACGAAAATAATACATCATCCTGGCAGTCTAAATAATACAGAGATATTTCACGAAGGCAGCAACAGCCTAATTGACCAGGGAATCAATGGGTAAATCTACACCTCCAGGCTTCTCTGGAGACATGATCTCACCGTGACTGCCATTACGGTCTCTCAGAGATATGTAAGTCTGAGAGACTTCGTCAGTTCTTATATACATCACACTGCCTCGCCCAAGTCACGAATTTTTTTTTTGCACCTCGAGCCCAAAACAATTATTGTATAAGTTTTACTCACGAGACTTGAATAAACACACACTGTGGGGGATTTAAATTTCTTCCGTATCTTCTGATTTATTTTCCCATACATATCTGCTCGTGATTTATACGTGAAACCATCTTGTATATACACAAATACTAGCTTCTAAAATACACACTAATCTGTAATAATAATAATAATAATAATAATAATAATAATAATAATAATAATAATAATAATAATAATAATAATAATAATAATAATATAATAATAATAATAATAATGATGATGATGATGATGATGATGATGATGATGATAATAATAATAATAATAATAATAATAATAATAATATATAATAATAATAATAATAATAATAATAATAATAATAATAATAATGATGATGATGATGATGATGATGATGATGATGATGATGATGATGATAATAATAATAATAATAATAATAATAATAATAATAATAATAATAATAATAATAATAATAATAATAATATAATACCATTATTTCTACCAGTACATGTACAAGGTATACAGACCATAGCTGACATCAATGACATACTACTATATAGAAAGCCGCTTGTTATGCTGAGCAATTCACCCAGATTAGGTCAATTTTGTCCCAGGATGCGACCCACACCAGTCCACTAACACCCAGGTACCTATTTTACTGATGGGTGAACATAGACAACCGGTGCAGATGCACTTGTATCTGTATTTTTCCCCAAGAACAGTGTATATACATACACCTGGAGATGTATATCTCTCGATGTACGAGTTAATGTATACATAGAGAGGTGTATCTCTCAGTGTATATACACTGAAGAGTATATCTGCTTGTGTAAATACACTGCAAGGTGTGTTTCTCCCAGTATAAGTATACTAGCAGCTTTATATACACTGAGAGGTATATTTTCTCACAATGAGAGTGATTCTTGTATCCCTGTTTGCTAGTACAATTTGTAATTGCAATCTTAGTGACAACGGTGCAGTAGATTGGTTTTAAACCTGACAATTTAACAAGACTAACATCTAACAAGCTTTCAATCACTGATTGAACTTAAATAAAAATATATAGAATATTTGGTGACCAACATTGAGTATATGGGCGGGTCTGAGGTCAGTCGTAGGTAGGCGTGACAAGGTCACGGTGTGCGTGAGTTAGGTCATTCGTGGGTGGGGCTCAGGTCAGTTTTGAGTGTGGATTAGGTGACTATGGGGTAGTAATTAGGTAGTACATGTGCAGGAGAGTCACCTTGAGACTAAAGAAATGGTTTCTTGCATCCCTGAGGCTCATCTGTATGACTGGAAGAACGTTTCGGACCGGCTTGGACAATTTACAACACACTCATCAGTGATTTTGACCACTCTGAGGTTAAAGAAATATTCCATGACTTGCTTGAGTTTTTGAGGCTTAAAGAAAACTTCCTGACATCCCTGTTTTTTTTTTCAACCACCCTGAGGGTTGAAGAAATATATCCTGACATCTGTGTCTTCGAGTTCCAGCTGTGTCACCCTTATCCTTGTTGTCTTAAATTAAACAGCTTGTCCCTATCAGCCCTTAGAAAGATGCAGTCAATATCCCCTTGTCCTTTTCTCTGCCAAGGTCGTCTGGGTCAGTGCCTTCATCCTCTCCTTACATTGCAGTCCTCTCAAAGGTTGCAAACCTTTGAGAGGAATGCAATGTAAGGATCTCTTCACGTTTGTTTACGTGGTTGACCAAGTGTGGGCTCCATACTGGGGCTGCGCACTCAGTAATTGTGATGAATGGTTTGAAAAACCGACAAGTTGAAGATTGAGACACTTATGCAACATATGGGAATCTTTATTCAGGAAACGTTTCGCCACACTGATGGACTGATGAAGCCACTGTGTGGCGAAACGTTTCCTGAATAAAGATTCCCATATGTTGCATAAGTGTCTCAATCTTCAACTCAGTAATTGGTTAAGTATATGTCGTACACAAGGCTTTGAAAGATTCTTAACTCGAGTTCCTGAATACAATTCTGAGGTTTGTTAATCTTGCAAATGTAACTGACGTTAAGTGGTTTATTTTTATTTTTAACTTTACATACTTGGTGTTGCATTCAACCCCAGTGGGGGGCCTTCATTTTTTGGGGGGCCCTGAAGCTTGAACCTTTGTTGGGGCCCCTTACAACCAGCAACAGCTAGGCCTATATCATACGTTAATAACCTTCTCATTTTCATTTTAACTACTGTTTTTTGCTAAATTACATTATATTATTAACATTATTATTTTTTAAAGAACCAATCTCAAACAGTGGACACCAAATTTTTAATCAATGTGGACAAAAGTGGCTTCCGGGGCCCCTCTGGGATTAGGGCCCCTCAAGCTTAACCTTCATTTGTTTCATAATATATCCTGAGTCCCCATCTGATATTTACAGCATTTCTTCACCCATGTTGTACTGTGTTGAGTTTTTAATTTTAGTGAACCTCGGTTTAACTTCATCTGGGTCAGAATGTTGAGGCTTCCAGGGAATTTCTTATTTTCCTGTCATGTTTGTATTCTTCTCATTATTTTTACATCACCAGCGACACACAAGACTTGATCTCTTCTGGCAGGTCACTGGAACATACACAAATAACCCGCACATAGAAGAGAGACGAACTTTTGACGACATTTCGGTCGATTTGGAAAGAAATGCTCATACATGCTAGCGGCTTTCCTTGTACTTGATCGTCATAAACGTCTTCTATGTGCTAGTTATTTGTATAATGTGCCTTTTTGTTGTTTACTGAGGTATATTAGTAGCAGTAGCGGTGTGGGTGCGTCTGACAAGCACTCTCTCTCCTCCCCAGCATCCCCTAATGGAGTTAAGATCGTCTCTCAGAGGCAGCTCAGCATCCAGGCGTCCTCGACACACTGCCTGGATTACTATCCATCAACACGGCGCGTGCTTCCACCCACGCCCAACCACGTACACACACGATCACACACGCCCATCCACGCCCTTCCACATACACACACACACACACACACACACACACACACACACACACACACACACACACACACACACACACACACACACACACACACACACACACGCGCGCGCACACACATCAAATTGACTAAACTACGATGTTTGACTATATCTCTAATTCAAAATCCAAGAACTGAAGATGTCAAAATTATTTCTGGTGTTATTTACAAACCAACTCATAGTTATATATTTGTTGTACTTACCCGGTTTTTGTTTATGTCCCTCAAGGGATTTCACTTATTACTTGAGAATGCCTCAGCCGATAGGCTTCAAATTTCCCACGATCTTGTATTGTAACTAGAGAAAATATCGTGTAGTTTGTAGCATGTTTTTTTGACGCCCGGATAATTTTACATAAAGCATTCCCGGGTTAATTTTCCTGGGATAACTTGAGAATGCCTCTTCTGATTGGCTTCTGGTGGCCCGGTGGTCTGGTGGCTAAAGCTCCCGCTTCACACACGGAGGGCCCGGGTTCGATTCCCGGCGGGTGGAAATTCCGACGCGTTTCCTTACACCTATTGTCCTGTTCACCTAGCAGCAAATAGGTACCTGGGTGTTAGTCGACTGGTGTGGGTCGCATCCTGGGGGACAAGATTAAGGACCACAATGGAAATAAGTTAGACAGTTCTCGATGACGCACTGACTTTCTTGGGTTATCCTGGGTGGCTAACCCTCCGGGGTTAAAAATCCGAACGAAATCTTATCTTATCTTATCTTATCAAACTTTCAACACCCGTGTATTCTACTTAGAAGAAGGCTGAGAGTGTTAATGAAGTGTTTGGATGCAAATCTGGCAATTTTATATTGACGAGAACTTGCCTAGTATTGGCCAGTAGGCCTTGTGCAGTGTTCCTCTTTTCTTATGATCTAATGACTTGATATTTACGCCTTTGAAGTACGTTTACTGGCCCATACTAAGCAGGTCCTTCTCAAACCCAAACCCTGAAGGAGGGGTGTTAATGTTGCAGTTTTATAACTGCAGTATAAACAAACCTCTGGTAAGACAGTGATTGTGTGAATGATGGTGAAAGTTTTTCTTTATCGGGTCACCCTGCCTTGGTGGGAAACTGCCTGTGTGTTAATAAATAAATGAATAATTTGCCCTAACACATCGGCCGATTCCCACCAAGGCAGGGTGGCCCGAAAAGGAAAAACTTTCACCATCATTCACTCCATCACTGTCTTGCCAGCAGTAACAGCCTGGTTGATCAGGCTCTGATCCACCAGGAGGCCTGGTCACAGACCGGGCCGCGGGGGCGTTGACCCCCGGAACTCTCTCCAGGTAAACTCCAGGGGTGCTTTACACTACAGTTTTTAAACTGCAACATTAACACCCCTCCTTCAGAGTGCAGACACTGTACTTCCCATCTCCAGGACTCAAGTCCGACCTGCCGGTTTCCCTGAATCCCTTCATAAATGTTACTTTGCTCACACTCCAACAGCACGTAAAGTATTAACAACCATTTGTCTCCATTCACTCCTATCAAACACGCTCACGCATGCTTGCTGGAAGTCCAAGCCCCTCGCACACAAAAACCTAATTACCCCCTACTAGGCCTACCCCTACCTCGACTTCCCTCCACTACAGATTTATACACTCTCGAGGTCATTCTGTTTTGTTCCATCCTGGACTGGATGACTGTGAGTGAGTTCACGATTTGTGAGTAGAAATTTGCTAAGTTCCTATTAGATAATAAATTGGAAATCGCATAATTCCGTGCAATAACCAGAGAATTCCTCTGCTGATTGACTTCATAGTTTAGGAAGTGTAGGTTTTAATGTATTGTGGGTGAGTTGTAAATTGTTCCAGCCAAGGTATTGTTGGTAAGTTATAAATTGTTCCAGCCAGGGTATTGTGGGAAAGCTGTAAATTGTTCCAGCCAGGGTATTGTAGGTAAATTGTAAATTGTTCCAGCCAGGGTATTGTAGGTAAGTTGTAAATTGTCCCAGCCACATTTTTATGAAGTTTGTTCTTCATAATAAATACTTACAATTAAGTATTTATAAGTATATATATTTAAGTATTTATTAAAATATATATTTAAGAATACAAGTATTTTTACATATATATTCAAGTGTTGGTCGTGGTAAAAACACCTTGTGTTGACAGACTCTCCTGATTGTTCATCATAAAGTGTTGTGCCTCTATAATAATAATAATATAAAATAATAATAATAATAATAATAATAATAAAAATAATAATAATAATAATAATAATAATAATAATAATAATAATAATAATAATATAATAATAATAATATTATTATTATTATTATTATTATTATTATTATTATTGTAACAATAACAATTATAATAATAATAATAATAATAATAATAATAATAATAATAATAATAATAATAATAACATAATAACAATAACTTCTGCCTGCTAATCACCAGCAGTACTGGGAATGTTAACACGTCTGTCTCGCTCTTAGCAAACAGAGGATCGAGCCTCCACTACTCCTTGAGCTGAATGACACACACGGGTTTAGAGCTTCGTATTAACTGAAAAAAAAAATCGAGACGGGCACATAACTATAGAGAGCTTGAAAGAAGGAATGAATTCATTAAGTGATAACTAGTTGTAGGAGCATTGAAATCCCCAATAAACTCTGTGGATTATATCCCATTTGCCTCACTTTTTTCAGTCTTGTTCTCTAAACTACGTACTTGCGTCAGAAAAATTATGATTCAATCATTTCCCACATAAATCAGCTCAGGTGACCTTTAGCTCATTAGAACAGTTGTACGTGTATGGTATACAATACCAAATAAATGAGGATTAAGTCACATGTGCTACATCTGGGTATCTTGTAGAAGTTTTGCCATCCAGTGGCTTTATCGATACAAATTCATGGACATAATGGGAAGATTGTAGGACTATATGCAAATGACGAGGTAATCAGTCCCTCAGCCTCGGAGTTGGTGAAGATCACCGTAGTCATGATTAAGAACAGTGTTCGGGTCACAGACACACCAGGAATCCATCCTCGGTAGGGTCAAACTAACGTCCTAGTCTCCTCACACAAGGAATCCATCCTCGGTAGGGCAAAACTAACGTCCTAGTCTCCTCACACAAGGAATCCATCCTCGGTAGGGTCAAACTAACGCCCTAGTCTCCTCACACCAGGAATCCATCCTCGGTAGGGTCAAACTAACGTCCTAGTCTCCTCACATCAGGAATCCATCCTCGGTAGGGTCAAACTAACGCCCTAGTCTCCTCACACCAGGAATCCATCCTCGGTAGGGTCAAACTAACGTCCTAGTCTCCTCACATCAGGAATCCATCCTCGGTAGGGTCAAACTAACGCCCTAGTCTCCTCACACCAGGAATCCATCCTCGGTAGGGTCAAACTAACGTCCTAGTCTTCTCACACCAGGAATCCATCCTCGGTAGGGTCAAACTAACGTCCTAGCCTCCTCACACTTGCTACCCCTATTAACTTCCTAGCAAATACAAAATAAAACAATTAGAGATGCATCGGATGTGAAAATTTAGATATCCGCAGATGCGGATGTGTATGAGGTTGTCTTACTTATTTTGCGGATGCAGATGCATATGCAGATATCTGTTTACAGTAAAATGCTGATGTGGATGCAGATGCGGATGCAAGAAAGTGTGCGGATGTGCTGCGGATGCGGATGCGGGTATTCGGTACATCTCTGCAGTAGATCTTAGAGCTGAGGTTTTGAAACTGGCTGTGGTAGGATCACAGCTTGCAACCTGTAAATTCCTGCGCAAAATAGCAGCGGCCACATTCCACAGGAACATGATGTGAGGAATTGACAAATAATTAACTACATTTTGTGCATAAGAGAAGAAACCTCGTGACGACGTTTTGGTCCGTCCTCGGCCAGAGTAAAGTTGTGCCTTGGCAATGGTCCAGGACGAACCGAAACGTCGTCATATGGTCTGTAATGAGCGAGTTTTTTTGTTGTATTGTTCCAGCAAAGGTATTGTAAGTTGTGAATTGTCCCAGCCAGAATATTGTGGGTAAGTTGTGAATTGTTCCAGCTATTGTATCGTGGGGCAAGTTGTGAATTGTTCCAGCCAGGGTATTGTGAATACTCTTCTTCTTCTACTAAACACACTAACGTGACAATAAATGAGATACTAAGTAATTTAAAAGATTTAAATTAGAAAACTAAGATGAGAAACATTCTCAAGAAATCACGAACAGATATCTTACAAAATCTTCAAATCCAGTTTTCCAGGAGACCAGTGGAATCGTGGTCATAATGTAGCCGTGTGGATTAGTTAATTGCTTACTTATGGGTTAGTTGGTTGTTTGATTGTGCGTTAGTTAACTTTGTCGTGCCGAATAGGTAAAATTGGTCAATTAGCAAGAACTCATTTAAAATTAAATCCTTTCTAAAAATTTATCTTTTAAGTTTAATGATATATATTTTTCGTTTATGTTAATGTAAAAATTAATAATTTTGTACCAAAAGAACCTTAGAAAACTTACCTGACCTTATTATAACAAGCGCACTTAAATTTAGCTTAATCCAACTAAATATATTTTTAGAAAAGTTTACAATAATTTAATAATAAAAAAATGGAACACATTTTTTTTTTCGTTAGGTTCAGAATGATTTTGGCGACATTATTGCATACACAAATTTTTGTTTGCTTTATTCGGCAAGAAGAGCTTTGCTATTTAAGCCAAAATCGAAAGTTTTACATATTCGGCACGACATATATATTAGTACTGATGCTGGTGTCTTTATTACATTGAAGGTCCGTTTAATATCTTGAGGGTTCAAAAGAAAGGCTCCGGTTATTGAATTTGATTTAATTGCACGATCAAATTCTAAATTAAAATAAATAATTGCATATATACATTGGTCAATGGATATTAAAGTAGAATAGATGCTAATCAGTGGGTCTGGGAGACTGTATAGTACGATCTCTTAAGAGATGCTCTTAATTGTATGTTGGTCTTAGGGATGGTTTTATCCCTATGTTGGTCTGAGAGATGGTCTTATCCCTATGTTGATCTGAGAGATGGTCTTATCCCTATGTTGGTCTGAGAGATGGTCTTATCCCTATGTTGGTCTGAGAGATGGCTTCATCCCTATGTTGGTCTGAGAAAGTCTTATCCCTATGTTGGTCTGAGAGATGGCTTCATCCCTATGTTGGTCTGAGAAAGTCTTATCCCTATGTTGGTCTGAGAAAGTCTTATCCCTATGTTGGTCTGAGAAAGTCTTATCCCTATGTTGGTCTGAGAGATGGCTTCATCCCTATGTTGGTCTGAGAAAGTCTTATCCCTATGTTGGTCTGAGAGATGGTCTTATCCATATGTTGGTCTTGGAGGGGCGTAAGACCTGACTTCATCAGAGTCAGGGTAGCGAGCTTCTCCCTGGTACTGGACGTCAGCCACGTAGCCTGAGTCACCGTCCACGTAGTAAGTCACAGTCTGCAGACGGCCATCGGGGAGCTGTACGCTGTACGACCCCTTGGTGTTGTCGTTGTCGCGGCTCTCCTGGTGACCGAACTCGTTGCCTGAGGGGTCGTGATCGACAGCCCAGTTGAAGCTGTACCGAACTGGACCGCTTTCCTCAGAAGAAAACTGTAGGAAGTTCCAAAGTTAAGTGTCGTGACTCTATCTACTGAAGGACAGCTTAATAGTTCAAACAAGTGACTCTTGAATTAATCGTAAACAAATGATTCTTGAAACCCACATCAACAACTGACTCTTTGAACTTAATTTAAGGACTATTAATCAAAAGTTTACCTTGCAACAATGCAGAACTTTGACAAGGCATGCAACAATCAGCTACTTTTATTAAAGACACGTTTCGCTCAATACAGTCTTGGTCATCTGTGTTGAATAATGATAATAATTCATGTTAAGTGCTAAACCCATGTGAGTAATTCAACGTAAGACGTGGTGGAGGCTTGATTCTCCGTCTGTTGAGAGCGAGACGTGTTTCCTATTTGTACTCTATGTATAGTCTGTCAGTATATAACACAAATCAACAAGTCTCAGGACTCAGTATTGACTTCTTCTTACCTGAGGAGGTCCGTAGAAGGTCGGGCGCTTGTCTCCAGCGACCACACCAGCCACACACAACACAAGCAGAATCTACAGACCAGATTAACACAGTAATATCATTAGGACGAACAAGTTAATTGTGTTTGATTATTATTATTATTATTATTATTATTATTATTATTATTATTATTATTATTATTATTATTATCATTATTGTTATTATTATTATTATATACGTATAGAAGAGTACGGGAGGGTAGCTCCCTGAGTTGGGCTTAAGATTGACATGGTAAAAGCAGGTGGAGATATAGTTTTGAAGAGGTTGGTGTATATGTATAATATTTGCATGGAGGAAAAAGCACCTAAGTATTGACAAAGAGCGAACATAGGTCCTTTGTGTTACGGAAATGGAGACGAGAGAGAGAGAGAGAGAGAGAGAGAGAGAGAGAGAGAGAGAGAGAGAGAGAGAGAGAGAGAGAGAGGAGAGAGAGAGAGAGAGAGAGAGAGAGAGAGAGAGAGAGAGAGAGAGTAAAATTTATAGGGGAATAAATGTGTTGAATATTACAGGTAAAATATACGGAAGAATTATCGCTGGAAAAACAATTAAGCGAAAGACAGAAAGTAGGATTATAGAGAAACACTGATGATTTACATTGTGTGTTTATATTGGAGTGTTTACATTGCCTTATGTACCTGAACAATACTTAAATCAAGGTTAAGAACTGTTTGTCGCTTTTATGGATTTAGAAAAATCAAGTGTGTGGGTAGATAGGGAAGGAGGAGTAGGGGAGGTCTTCCCAGGGAGGATAGGAGGGAGGGGTTGAAGATTTTGAGTTCTAGGGGCTTGAACATCCAGCAGGCTTGTGTGAGTAAGTTAGATTGGAGTGGAGACAAGTGGTTTTTATGGCTTGATGTACTGTTGGAGTGTAAGGAAGATAACATTTAAGAAGGAATCCAGGGAAATCAGTCAGCCGGAGTTGAGTCCTAGAGATGGGAAATACAGTGCCTGGCTCTGAAAGAGGGGTTGAGGATATTGCAGTTTAGAGGTTCATTTGCACTATGATGTCTGCACATGCCTGTTATGTCCTTATGAATAACAAGGGCTAGGTACTAGAGGAACCTACTTAATATAGGCCAGTAAGTCTACAACAGTGGTAAGATATCATAAGATTTGTTTGGATTATTAACCCGGGGTAGGGAGGGTTAGCCCCCCAGGATAACCCAAGAAAGTCAGTGCGTCATCAAGGACTGTCTGTCTTATTTCTATTATAGTCCTCAGTAATGTCCCCCAGGATGCCACCCACACCTATGTCCTGTAGCATAGAAAACCCTCTTACGAGCATACCTTGGAGTCCATGTTATTGCCTTGACTGGGAAGACTTCACTGATGGCTGCTGGTAGTCTCTTGTATTTATACAGTATCTGGAGGGAAGCAGTAGGACGGGTTTTTATGTCATTCTGAGAGGAAACAGAACAAACGTGACACCCAGGGCGAGGTTTTCTTTTATCAGTGAATTGAGTCACTATATGATCACTGCCTCAGATGAAACACATATAATTTTATATTGTTCTCAACTATATATATATATATATATATATATATATATATATATATATATATAAGTGAACAGTATTTAGATAAGGCTAAAGAGGTCTTTGTGGCATTTATGGATTTGGAAAAGGCGTATGACAGGGTGGATAGGGGGGCAATGTGGCAGATGTTGCAAGTGTATGGTGTAGGAGGTAGGTTACTGAAAGCAGTGAAGAGTTTTTACGAGGATAGTGAGGCTCAAGTTAGAGTACATAGGAAAGAGGGAAATTATTTCCCAGTAAAAGTAGGCCTTAGACAAGGATGTGTGATGTCACCGTGGTTGTTTAATATATTTATAGATGGGGTTGTAAGAGAAGTAAATGCGAGGGTCTTGGCAAGAGGCGTGGAGTTAAAAGATAAAGAATCACACACAAAGTGGGAGTTGTCACAGCTGCTCTTTGCTGATGACACTGTGCTCTTGGGAGATTCTGAAGAGAAGTTGCAGAGATTGGTGGATGAATTTGGTAGGGTGTGCAAAAGAAGAAAATTAAAAGTGAATACAGGAAAGAGTAAGGTTATGAGGATAACAAAAATATTAGGTGATGAAAGATTGGATATCAGATTGGAGGGAGAGAGTATGGAGGAGGTGAATGTATTCAGATATTTGGGAGTGGACGTGTCAGCGGATGGGTCTATGAAGGATGAGGTGAATCATAGAATTGATGAGGGGAAAAGGGTGAGTGGTGCACTTAGGAGTCTATGGAGACAAAGAACTTTGTCCTTGGAGGCAAAGAGGGGAATGTATGAGAGTATAGTTTTACCAACACTCTTATATGGGTGTGAAGCATGGGTGATGAATGTTGCAGCGAGGAGAAGGCTGGAGGCAGTGGAGATGTCATGTCTGAGGGCAATGTGTGGTGTGAATATAATGCAGAGAATTCGTAGTTTGGAAGTTAGGAGGAGGTGCGGGATTACCAAAACTGTTGTCCAAAGGGCTGAGGAAGGGTTGTTGAGGTGGTTCGGACATGTAGAGAGAATGGAGCGAAACAGAATGACTTCAAGAGTGTATCAGTCTGTAGTGGAAGGAAGGCGGGGTAGGGGTCGGCCTAGGAAAGGTTGGAAGGAGGGGGTAAAGGAGGTTTTGTGTGCGAGGGGCTTGGACTTCCAGCAGGCGTGCGTGAGCGTGTTTGATAGGAGTGAATGGAGACGAATGGTTTTTAATACTTGACGTGCTGTTGGAGTGTGAGCAAAGTAACATTTATGAAGGGGTTCAAGGAAACCGGCAGGTCGGACTTGAGTCCTGGAGATGGGAAGTACAGTGCCTGCACTCTGAAGGAGGGGTGTTAATGTTGCAGTTTAAAAACTGTAGTGTAAAGCACCCTTCTGGCAAGACAGTCATGGAGTGAATGATGATGAAAGTTTTTCTTTTTCGGGCCACCCTGCCTTGGTGGGAATCGGCTAGCGTGATAATAAAAAAATAATATATATATATATATATATATATATATATATATATATATATATATATATATATATATATATATATATATATATATATATATATAAGTATATATATATATATATATATATATATATATATATATATATATATATATATATATATATATATATATATATATATATATATATATTGATATTGCATTTACTACATTTCTCTGTATTGTTTATTATATGTTAGGGTTAATCTGACCCCCGCCCACCTACGATGATGTCTTCAACTGCTATACCTCTCCTCTCGTTACGGTCCATTAATCTCCACATGCCTCTGTGTGAGACTGACAAAGTCTGCTGCGCAGGCGAAACGTTTCCCCAGTAAAGATACCCACGTTTTGCTCATCCCCTCCTCTATAACACTATTTTTAAATGGAGATGCATAACGAATTTTAACAAAAAAAATATATACATTAAGTGATAATCTTGTTTCAGTTTCGCTTCTTTGCACAGAAAAAAATATTGCTTGTAAATTTACGAATATTGTTACGTATTATATAAAAGATATGCGTTGTGAAGTTCTACACATATTATTATTATAATCAAGGGGGAAGCGCTAAACCCGGAGGATTATACAGCGCCTGGGGGGGGGGATATGTGGAAGGCATTCAGACTTAATTCGGGGAACTGGAGCACAGATCCAATTCCCTAAATCAAGAGCCCCTCACCAACATCAAGGAACCTTCCTTGAGGGGAGTTCTACACATCGACATTATCTTCTGTTTGCCTTTTTCTTAAAATTGAAACGTCTCAAACAACGCCTTATAAAGCGGAGTGAATCTAGTTCTTGTAAACGGGTTTGATAACTATATTAGTGGCATCTTCGTGACGAGGCGCTGGACCCTCGTCAGTTTGTCTGTGGAAGACCAGGCTGTTAGACTCACTGTCTGTTAGAAACTAAATGCCTTTCTTAGGCCCAAACAAATTAATTCTGTTTTTTTTTTGCCTCAGTAGGCCTACGCAGCCTCCTTAATTTCCTGGTGATTTTTTCTTATTAACTTTCATTAGGCCTATGGAGGGGGTAAAATAATTGGCCTACTCATTTTTTTATCTATTTTTTCCAGTGAGGGAGTCTTGGTGTTCCAAAAGGGCTCTTGATTCAAGTCTTTGGAACAATCCTTCTCTTCCTCAAAACAGACTTAGGAACTTAATATTCTTGACAAGTTAAAATCATAATGACATTCTTGGCATACACAAATCTGTACTTAACAACTTTAAAGAAGGTTAAAGTTTATTTAGGTACAGGTTCACATAGGTACAATTATCATAGTCACATGTAGAACAACCACTGTTGAAAAATTGTGAAATTCCAAGCGCTTTCGTCATTTCTCACATTATCAAGGACCAGTTCTTTGGTAGTGTGAGAAGTTATGAAATCGCTTGTTATTTAATGATTTTTTTCGTAGTGGTTGTGTTGCATATTGTGATATCACCTGGTTACTGTGATCTTATTGCAACACGTAGTAACATATGTATATTTACAAAGGTAACCCCACTGTAAGTCAAAGTGACTTATTTTAATTGGAATCCTTGTGATTCTACTGAAGACGATCTTACCAATAGTAATATTATAATACTAATAATAATTATGATGATAATAATAATAATAATAATAATACAAATACTACTAATACTACTACCACTACTACTACTAATAAGGATAATAATAACAATAATAATAATAGTAATAATTAATAAAAATATAATAATAATAATAATACAAATAATAATAATAACAATAACAATAATAATAATAATAATAATAATAATAATAATAATAATAATAACAATAACATTAATAATAATAATAATAATAATAATAATAATAATAATCATAATAATAATAATAATAATAATAATAATAATAATAATAATAATAATAATAATAATAATAATTAATAATAATAATAATAATAATAATAATAATAATAATAATAATAATAATAATAATAATATAATAATAATAATATATAATAACAATAACATTAATAATAATAATAATAATAATAATAATAAATAATAATAATAATAATCAATTAATAAATAACAATAATAATAATATAATAATAATAATAATAATAAATAATAATATAATAAATAATAATAATAATAATAATAATAATAAATAAATAATATAATAATAATAATAATAATAAATAATAATAATAATAATAATAACAATAATAATAATAATAATAATAATAATAATAATAATAATAATAATAATAATAATAATAATAATAATAATAATAATAATAATAATAATATCTTTATTTCTACAAGTACATGTACAAGGTAACAGATATAAAGGGAGAGACCAATATAACATTTGTCTACGTAATATAGAAAATCTCCAGAGCACAGATATTCTCCAGAGAGAAAATAGATCCATGTGCAACATCTGGGTATCTTTACTGTAGACGTTTTGGCCATCCAGTGGCTTTATCAATACAAATTCCAGGACATAACTTGAAGACAGTAGAACTATATACAGAAGATGAGGTAATCAGTCCCTCAACCTTGGAGTAGGTGCGAAGAGCACCGTAGTCGTGGAGAGGGCGAAACGTCTGCAGTAAAATTAGCCAGATGTTGTACATGTGTCTTACTCTCATCTTATCGGCATTATATACCATTCTTTCAGAAAATAGATCAAGTGAAAACTATCCCGAATAGAGAAGAAAGAATTTACAAAAGTATCGCAAGTGGAGAGAGTCGCTTTATGGATCAGTGTGTTCGTGCTACTTAACAACGCAAGGGAGGAGCACTGCAGGAGGCCTACTGGTTTATTCTAGGCAGGTCCTTCTCAAACCCAAACCCTTTAAAAATAAGAATTATTGTAACTTTAATTTTTAAAGGGGTGGAGTGGTATGCCAGTGGAAGGCCTTGGTCAGATGACCAAAAGCTCTATCTATAATAAAGTTGGTAGAATTACCGACAATATGTAAAGTAAAAGGGTTCCGCAGACGCAAGTGCCTCGAATCAGCACTGATCGCTGTTTCGAATACAATTAAACAAATTGTTAGGTAAGACACATATGCAACAGTTAGACAACTTTATTCCGAAACGTTTCGCCTACACAGTAGGCTTCTTCAGTCGAATACAGAAAGAAGGCAGGAACAGTAGAGATGTGAAGACGATGTAATCAGTCCATCACCCTTAAAGTCGTAGAATTTGAGGTTGTCAGTCCCTCGGCCTGGAGAAGTTCAGTTCCATAGACTATGGAACTGAACTTCTCCAGGCCGAGGGACTGACAACCTCAAATTCTACGACTTTAAGGGTGATGGACTGATTACATCGTCTTCACATCTCTACTGTTCCTGCCTTCTTTCTGTATTCGACTGAAGAAGCCTACTGTGTAGGCGAAACGTTTCGGAATAAAGTTGTCTAACTGTTGCATATGTGTCTTACCTAACAACCTGTCGGTATTGTATACCATTTTGATGTTCACAATTAAACAAAACAACGGCAGCTTCACCATCTCCGAAGTCTTAGCAAGAATCCTCCTGAAAACAGTAAACCCTGCCATCACATAGTCTCTCCTGTTATACTACACAAAGCACAGAGAGTGAACACTGAAACAAGCTGCCTCATTCCAGTCTATATTTGTCCAACCTATTTTTATGTTACCCAAGTAATAGCTTTTATATCCTTTTACTCATGTACGAATTAATTGCTCTACCATATTGTATTACTTTTGTCACTACCACTACTACTACTACTACTACTACCACTAGTGAACATCGAAATGTTACCTCACTAGTATTGCACCTCACTCTGAGCCTTTATATACCCTCTGTGTCCATGTATTGTTTGTAATGGCTTGATAAAGCTCCTGGAGAGCGAAACGTTGCCACAATAAATGTCACATTAGTTGCACTTGTGTCCTTTTACTTTACATATTGTCGGTAATTCTACCAACTTTATTACACTAATAAGGTCGTTACGGAGACTAATAAGGTGGTTAAAAGTCTAATAAGGCCGTTATAAATAATAATAAGGTCGTTACAGAGACTAATAAGGTCGTTAAAAGTCTAATAAGGTCGTTACAAATACTAATAAGGTCGTTACAGAGACTAATAAGGTCGTTAAAAGTCTAATAAGGTCGTTACAAATACTAATAAGGTCGTTACAGATACTAATAAGGTCGCTAAAGGCCTAATAAGGTTGTTACAGAGACTAATAAGGTCGTTAAAAGTTTAATAAAGTCGTTACAAATACCAATAAGGTCGTTACAGATACTAATAAGGTCGCTAAAGGCCTAATAAGGTTGTTACAGAGACTAATAAGGTCGTTAAAAGTTTAATAAAGTCGTTACAAATACCAATAAGGTCGTTACAGATACTAATAAGGTCGTCAAAAGCCTAATAAGGTCGTTACAAATACTAATAAGGTCGTTAAAAGCCTAATAAGGTTGTTACAGAGACTAATAAGGTCGTTACATATACTAATAAGGTCGTTAAAAGCCTAATAAGGTTGTTACAGAGACTAATAAGGTCGTTACAGATACTAATAAGGTCGTTAAAAGCCTAATAAGGTCGTTACAAATACTAATAAGGTCGTTACAGATACTAATAAGGTCGTTAAAAGCCTAATAAGGTTGTTACAGAGACTAATAAGGTCGTTACAGATACTAATAAGGTCGTTAAAAGCCTAATAAGGTCGTTACAAATACTAATAAGGTCGTTACAGATACTAATAAGGTCGTTAAAAGCCTAATAAAGTCGTTACAAATACTAATAAGGTCGTTACAGATACTAATAAGGTCGTTAAAAGCCTAATAAGGTTGTTACAGAGACTAATAAGGTATTATACGTATATATTATACGTACATTTTATACGTATATATTATACGTACATTTTATACGTATATATTATACGTACATTTTATACGTATATATTATACGTACATTTTATACGTATATATTATACGTACATTTTATACGTATATATTATACGTACATTTTATACATATATATTATACATACATTTTATACATATATATTATACATATATATTTCTTCTTATAGTAGAAATCGTAGAATAAATGGTTATGAAGGAACTCAAACAAATTAATATGAAAATAATGTATTTATTAGATACATAAATAATTGCGATTGGTATAATAATAATAAAGATAATAATAATACTAATATTATTATTAGTATTAGTATTAGTAGTAAGTTTTGTTCAGCTTTTGGCCAAGCATTGCAAGTTTCAAGATTTTAATAGACTGTGTATCAATCCACACATCTATTTCCACAGAAACATGGTCCTAGAAGTGTATTGGTCTTGGAGCTGGTCTCTGTATGTTGGTCTGAGAGATGGCCATAGCCATACATTGGTCAGGGAGATGGTCTTATCCATATGTTGATCTGAGAGATGGTCTTATCCATATGTTGGTCTTGGAGGGACGTAAGACCTGACTTCATCAGAGTCAGGGTAGCGAGCTTCTCCCTGGTACTGGACGTCAGCCACGTAGCCTGAGTCACCGTCCACGTAGTAAGTCACAGTCTGGAGACGACCATCGGGGAGCTGTACGCTGTACGACCCCTTGGTGTTGTCGTTGTCGCGGCTCTCCTGGTGACCGAACTCGTTGCCTGAGGGGTCGTCATCGACAGCCCAGTTGAAGTTGTACTGAGCTGGACCAGATTCCTCTGAAGAATGCTGAAAAATAAAAAAAATAAGTAAGAATGTCTTAAATAATTCTTCTTTCATCGATAGAATGATAAACACTCTTATATCTATAATGAAATCTATTGTTTTGGTAACGAAAAATCTTTATAAACAAAATCTCTCCGTGCCCAGGTTGACACTCACTAGCACCAAGGTGCCCATTTACTGCTAGGTGAGCAGGGAAACCAGATTTTACATCTTGCGCTCCTGAGACTAAAACCCACAACAGACGACTTACACCCAGGTACCTTCTTACTACTAAGAAAACATGGGCAGCAACAGTAAGAAGATTTGCTCATATGTCTTACTTTGGTTACAGTAAAGGCACAAAATCCAGGAACCTTATTATTGGTAGGAAAACATGGGCAGCAACAGTGGGAGGCTTGTTCTTACGTCTCAACATAAATGGGAATCGGTTCAGCGTCTCTGCGAACCAAACTTTCCACCACTAATCTACGGTTCCCTGAATTTATAAACTATAAAATAACATATAACACTGAGATTTTAGCTGAAGTCTTGAACCAGTCTGGTTTCCCATCTAGATCAGAACATTTCACATATTTTTTTCTAGCTTACGATAATTTATATATTACCTGAGGTGGGCCATAGGAGAAGGATGGTCGCTTGTCAGCAGAAGCGACAGCAA